CCATACTTTCACCCAGGTTTATTACATTTTCAACAAGATGAAAAATGATGAGAGAGTCCGCCTAGTTAAGGAAAAGGAACCCTTAAGAAAATGCCTTCCTCCCTTCCCAGTGGAGCTCAAATTAGAAACTTCTTCCCATTCTCCAGTGAGACCAACAAATACAAGTGATGGCAGGGAGTGTCCATCTGCTCTGGGGTTGGTCTAGGCTGTGATCTAATAGAATGAAGGAACAAGCCTCCCATGTGGCACAGATCCAGGCTGTGACCTTCAGAAGGGGCAATTTTCTAAAGACAAGCTCTGGCCTTCTTTCTAGCAGCCATTAATCCTTCATAACAGAGATCTTACATAAAGAAGCAGTGTAGACTTTGAACACGTACAAAGAAGCTATAAAGTCTTCTACAACATTGTTCACAAGCTTTCTTCAGCTAAGGAACTCTTTCTTCAAATATCTCAAGGAGCTACCTGGTTGTGTTCCAGAGAACTACAGTCCCACTTGCTCAACCCCAACTTGGGCTCTGAGTGGTTTCTGTGGCACTTGCATGCAAACCCCAAGAACTATAGTCCTTAGAAATGGATGAGGTTTTTGACTGTCACAATGACAGGGAAACACCACTCATATCTAATGGACGAAGTGAGAGACACCAAACACGCTTCGATGTACTAGAAAGTCCTAGGAAAAAATAACCTTCCTGGAATATACAGTGCTCCACTGAGACTTCCCTAGGGCTCAGGGGAAGTGAAGTTGAAAATTACTGTGCTGCGCTGCACATCTGTCCGACCTGACACAGAAGGCAGGATTAGCAATTATCACACAAGTCCCATGGCCCTGACTCCACCAGACTCAGCCTTGAGAGATATTAAAGTAGAGCTTAAAGAACTTGAATTATGAATAAAGGCTCTTGAATTAGCTAAAATCTAGATCTTGGATCTGATACTGATGAACTAATCAGGGACACAGAAAAAGACCTATCACTATAATGAAAAAAAAAAAAAAAGCCAGTGGATTTGATTACTTTGTGAGCTTCCAAAAATATCCAGATCAGCCCAGCTGCCAAGAGCACTATGAAAATAATCCATTAAGAGTAAAAGGATGGTTACCAGAGGCTGGGAAGGATAGTAGGGGAGTGGGCGGGAAGTGGGAATGGTTAATGAGTACAAAATCAAAATAGAAAAAATAAGACGTAGTATTCAATAGCACAATGGGTAACTATAGTCAATAATAATTTAATTGTATATTTTAAAATAACTAAAAGAGTACAGTCAGATTGGATTGTTTGTTACACAAAGGATAAATGTTTGAAGGGACAGACACCCCATTGTCCACAATGTGATTATTATGAAGTACATGCCTGTATCAGGGTATCTAATGTACACCGTTAATATATACATGTACTATGTACCCACAAAAATCAAAATCATTTTTAAAATAAAGAAAAATAATAACCCATTAGCTTAGAGTGTTCTGGAGGCCAGAGGATGAAGGTCATATGGGTGCACTAAAGGAAGAGCTCAGAGAGACCCCACTGAAAATCCCAGCTCTGCCACTTACTCCCTGTGTGACACTGATACGTAACATGATCTCTCTGAGTCTCAATCTCCTTTCTGATCAAGCAGTAAAAGAAGAATCTGGAAGCAATAGTGACCTCATAGAGTGCTTGTGAATATCAGCAATAATGTAAGAAAGACACCTAGCACAATGTCTGGCACATAGTAGGTGCTCAATGCTAATAATAATTAGATTCTGCAGATGGTGTCTGCTGGCCAGAAGAATTTGAATTAAGGGGGTTTGTGCAATTGAGTTTCCAGCCTCCTCCCTTTTTTCCTAGAAAAAGCTGGCTCCTGGGGCATTTTCTCCCCCTCTATGAGGCAAAAGCCCAGTCTGGATCGTGTCCTCTCTACGCAGCCCAAACATGCTTTTCCACAGTCATGACCCCGCGTGCACACCACATGGAATCAGTCCTGCCTGAGACCGCAGGTCTGGAAGAAAAGGGGTCATCAGCCCTGCTAATTAAATCTGCAGATGATAACAAACTGGGCGGCTCTGCAAACAGCACCAGAGAGGACGGGGATATAAATGAGAAGGGACCTGGGGAGTTTACAAAATATGGGACAGGAAATCACAAAATGAGATTCAATGCAGAAGAATGCAAGGATCTCCAACTGGGGGGAATAATCAGAAACACAGACCCTGGAGGGGAAGGGAAAGCTGGAAGAAGGCAGAGGTGATGAGGGCTTGGAGCGGATGGAAGACAGGTGGCAAATGAGAGAATGGGCGCAAGAGGCGAGCAGCAAGTAGGGGTCGAGAAGCCTGGAGGGAAGTCCAAATGGAAACCATGGGTCCCATCCAATGGGGCCATTCGTACTCTTCAAGGCTTACTTCCAAAGGCCATCCTCCGCTCCAGCACCAGCTCAAGTCACACCTCCTCCGAGAAGTTTTTCTGGACTCCCACAGTGAGCCCTACCAGTCTCCCTGCTCATTACTCTTCTGTGCTCGGCAGGGCCGCGTTTGACCATGGGCATCACTCCACGTCTGACTCTTTTATCTCCAACCAAACTCTCAGCTCCAGGGGGACAAGGATCCAGCCCTGTGGCTCACTGTGCTCCTTCCCACATCCAACTCAGAGCAAAGCCGGGGCTAAATCTTCAATAAAAATGAGGGTGGCATCATCTCCAATAACATGACAAAGAGAAGAATTTCCCACTCCAACCCCTGCTGGGTCAAAATTCTGTCTGAGTTCTCTCTGTCCTTCTCTCTAGGCCCTCAGCCCTATCCCGATGCCTCATGTGTGGCACCCCTGAGTCAATTGCTTGTTTAACCCTTGCTTAGGCCAGGACACAAACCAGAGATCGCTCAGGGGCCAGGGGGAAAGAAGACAAATCACAAGTAGAGGGGAAACGATGAGGTGGATGTATCCCCCATGTGACGGGGACTGTCCTCACATAGCCATGGTGCTGGGAAACGATGAGGTGGATGTGTCCCCCATGTGACGGGGACTGTCCTCACATAGCCATGGTGCTGGGAAACGATGAGGTGGATGTGTCCCCCATGTGA